TACTGAAGCCTTTGGTGCTTTTAGTGAATGCAGTCGGTACGCATTTGAACACGTGGATATTACAAGAAAAAGCAAAAGGGTAAAAGCCATGGTTCGGCTCACATAAGCGACGAAGCGCTTTTATACAAAGGGAAATTTTTACGACAGAAGTCACGAGACATCGTTAACCGGAACTCCCCCAGGTCTCTTCGTTGGCGGGCAGTGAGGCACCGCCCCGTACCCACCCATCCCGTTCCTATTCCCTGCTCATACGGGAAGGATGTAACAGCTGGATCAGAGAGGGAGCAGTCATTTGCTCATGCCACATAAAAGATCGCTGATCTTGAGCAATTCTCTTCTTTTTGTTTTTCTTTCTTTTTCCGGTTTACCGTGGGATCAGAGAATGAGAAGGCATAAGAAAAGAATTCGACCCCTGCGAAAATTTTAGGGCATAGAATAATACCGTATTGAAAGCAAGTCAGGAATATACAGTCAAACCCGTCAAAACGGGCACTGAAGTGTCCGTATTAAGCGGGTCATGTTATTAAAGTAAAAAATACACCTTTTATTTGATAAAATACTACAGAAATTAAAGAGGATACTAGCAGCGTCAAACTTCACATCTCTAAAATTTATCAAGCCGTTTTTCCGCGGACTATGCCCATGAAAACACTCAAAAGTCAGCTGAAAAGTCTCGACAAAGTTGTTTATTACAGTCTAACCTCTCCTTACGGACACCTCTATAATACGGACACCTCTCTATTACGGACAGTTAGTTTGGTCCCAGAAATACCAAAAGCCATATATTCCCTACCTCTATAATAAGGACACCTCTGTAAAGCGGACACTTGGTTCTGTCCCTTTGGTGTCCGTATTAAAGAGGTTTGACTGTATACACTAACCAAAAACCGTTTCTCTGTATACTCGATTGATGTCATAACTTTCTTTAACTGTCGTCCACAATTCATCCTATCTGGTGTACTATAGTGCTGAGGACATCGACATTATGTCAACTGGAGGTATTTTTACCTTCATGGAAAAGAAAGGTGTATTTCGGCACACAGTAGGCAATAAAGTGTAAGCATTAGCGAGGTTGACTTTATGTGAGATTCTGTTTATTGGGCAAGGAAAAAGTGTCCGTTGTCCGCATTAGCAGGTGTCCGTATTAAGCGGGTTGAATTTAGAGAAAATGTAAGGGCTTTCCCAAGGGACAGAAAACTGTCCGGAATAACGAGGTGTCCCTATTAAGCGGGGTTCAAATGTAGCTGCTTTAAGCTGAATGTACGAAACTAAGTTTTCCTTAATTGAAACAAAGAAAGGGAAAATGCCACCTCGCGGTATCCAAAGAAAATTAATGAAAAATAGAAACAGAAACCTTGTTTGTCAGAAAAACGTAGAGTCCGGGACCATTGTCTTTGGTTCATTATGTGATTTCCGTTTTGGTTTTGGCGAAGTACGTAACAGACAAAGGAAACAGAGATCCCGAATTCTTTCATCTTTCACCCAGCGTTCACACTCAGTGCAGGCACAGCGCCAGAGAACGGTTGTCACTGAGAACTTATCTGAACACAAACCATTTTTTAAGAACCCAAGGCAGAGTTCTGGCACGGTAACGGTGCCCGAGTAAAGGTCGGAGAGTAAAGTGGACACTGAGTCCCTATTTGCAAAGGATTTTTTTGTTGATCAACTGTTTTCCATACTCAAACATCCCGCTTGCTCAGGTTCCAAGACATCTCAGAGTAGTATTTATTTGATTTCTGTATCAAATCGTTCCTAAAACATACATGAAGTCGTATTTTGGCAAACACGACTGAACAGTATCCGGTAAAAGATTAAACTGTGGTTAAACACAGGCGACCCAAGCGTAACAATTTATGGTAACCAACATCCGGTCCCATCGAGTACTCGTCGCGAATTTTCCCGTAGCTCGATGTTATTTTGTCTCGATCTGGTGTGAACAGCCCGTTATTTTACCCTGATGAACAGCTTGGATTTTCGCCAGTTCTTCCACTACACCTTTTCTCGGTTCTTTTCATTTTAATTCGACCAGCACAGTGAACCTTTAAAAGTTTATGTGTCATTTTGAGCCCGTTTACTCAGCTTTGCTATTAAACCCTGACTATAATAAGCGTTTGGGCGAACACGAGTCAACCAGAAATTTCACAGATTTATTGAGTGAAATTGGAATGTTAATTTAAAGTTTGGTGTTAATGATGGATAAAAGCCATTTAATTAAAACGTCCACAGAAAATAAACATTGAATTCCATATTGCTACGGAAGTGCTTTGTAAAAAAGCACACAAACCGCAAGATAATTGCTTTTTATTTCACCAGCTTCATGCGAATTACAAGAAAATTAAAATCTTCTTCGAAGACGGATTTGAAATGTGGTCAGTGCTTATGTCTTGTGGAAATGCTGCTATAAAAGTCTTCAAGATAAAAACCATTTAGGTTTTTCGCTCATTTCAGTCTCTTGTATGCATGAGATAGATGGACCTAGAATCGTTATGGCTTTCGTTGGAAACTACTCCAACTCCACAGCGCAAACTGGGTCGAACTTGCCTCTGTTCAAGCTTTACGCCAAAGAAGAATTAGTAATTGCAACTATAATTGAAATCTGCCTCTCCGCTGTAGGAACCTTTGGGAACTGCACAGTATCTGTGGCAGTTGTAAAAAACAGGGCTCTTCACGTTGCCTCGAATTTGTATATGGTTTCTTTGGCCCTGGCAGATCTTCTTGTAACAGCCTTTCTTGTACCCATGCGGGCAGCTCAACACTTGGCGCTCTTCAATGGCAGCATTGTGGAGGAAGCTGTTGTTTGTGTGTTGGGTTTTATCGGGAGAATAACCATTCTAGCATCAGTTTCTAGCATAGCTGCCTTAAGCATGGATCGTCGCATGGCCCTAAAGCATCCACTGAAATATCACTCCGTCATAAGGTTCGCCAAAGGACGCGCGGTAAAGGTAATTTTAACAATATGGGTGCTTTCGCTGGCTTTCACTAGCTTAACCCTTATTCCCGGCGTGGATGATGAGGTTTACCTTATAGGATTTGCATCATATGTTTTGATGGTCTTTGCAGTGATTCTTTTTGCTTATGCTAATATCCTCTATCTTGTGCGACAATCAACGCGTTGGAGAATATCTGCCACTAGTTCTCGTTCTAACGCTAAGAAGGATGCAAAGGGCGAACACGCGTTTCGTACAGGTTGTATGCATCTGCCTATGCACAGAAGAGAAAAAACACTAACTCCGAATTCTGCCACCAGTGGAGTTGATACTGAAGTAACATGCGCAGAGACAACACAAACACGATCCACGAACACGATCCACGATCACGATCACGAAAACGAACTCGATTCACGCAGTGATGGTAAATTGGGGGAAAATAAATCTCCTGAGAGTCTACATGTGGAGACCTTCTCAGTGAGAAAGGAACAAAATGAAAATAAAGCTTCTTCATTGCAGCCGGGGACTGAAGCGGAAACGGAAATGAAGCACAGAAAACGAAAACTACGGGCAAAGGTGAGCCCTGCTGAAAGTCAAGGCGTGTTTCAGTCGCACATAGAACTGAGGACAATAGAAAAAGCATCAGTGTCTGGTATTGGAGGTGAAGAAAACTTACTTGAGCGAAAACGTCAGCGAAATTCGTATTCTGGTCGGGCTCAACTTAAACCGATCCATCTTCAGAGAAAGCCAAGAACATTCACCATCCCAGTTTCTCTGGCCCACGGAAAAACCACAAATAATCTAGAGTTTGATAAAATTTGTCGAGGGGAAGTAGAATCTTGTATGTCTATAAGTAGAAAGAAACAATCCACGTCTTTATACCCTAGTGAATTTGGTGAGACTAGCATGGTATCTTCTTGCGATCAAAGGACGCAATTACCCCGGAAAACGCTGCCCAAAAGCGTGCTTGAAAATCATTCTGATTCCAAGTTGTCGCGTGTAAACGATGCGAGAGCCAGAAAACGCCAGCGTGAAAGCCAGCTGGAATTTAAAATTTTAAAAACAACTGGCCTCATAGTTATGTTATTCTTTCTTCTTGTGTTTCCACGCATTGTTGTGATCATTTACAGTATATCTGCCGGAAATGATCTGGAATCTGTCATTCACGCAAGACTGTGGATGAGAATTCTTCTGTATTGCAATTCGGCTGTAAATCCATTTCTTTATAGCTTACGTCATCGTGAAATTTGGCGCGAGTTTATGAAGCTCGTGCGTTGCTGTTACTGGGGGACCGGAAGACGGCATGCGCGAACATGAAGCAGAAAATGGGAACCTTGTTGGCGAAAATCTCGTCCCCAGAGCTTCCGTTACTTTTCTCCAGCGAACTGTACAAAAGGACTGCAGCCTTTGCTGNTCGTGCGTTGCTGTTACTGGGGGACCGGAAGACGGCATGCGCGAACATGAAGCAGAAAATGGGAACCTTGTTGGCGAAAATCTCGTCCCCAGAGCTTCCGTTACTTTTCTCCAGCGAACTGTACAAAAGGACTGCAGCCTTTGCTGGATTGTATCAGCGATGGCTTAACTTAAAATATTCATTTGCGGTGTATGAGGCGTAACTCTGTTCTGTTGGTCCAAGGCAAAAGCAGGCTAAATATGCCACCTCTCACCTTTCAAGTTAAGTCAGATCAAAATTGTTTTTCTTCTTAGACACAAGTTTTGTAAAAACAGGAACATTTCCAACGTAAAATGGTGCAGTAAGGGAGGAAATCTAGGGAAGATTAGACCCCTGTCATCGGGTCCGCCGCTCCCCCTCCCAACCCCTCCCTCCCCGACCTTCGGGTTCACGTCTTGATAAGGCATTTACAACATTAATCCGTGTATTTAGCTCATTCTTGTACGTAATGAAGCGAAAATAAATACTGCAGTCAATTGTTTGCTTTAAAACTGACTTCAGGTTTTTGTTTTAGACTCAGAGCGCGACCATGAAAGTTCATGGACAGGCTCTTGTTTTATACAATATTCAAGTGTCAGGAGATTCGGTATTGGATTGTCTTCTGAAGTCCCATCACCTATTTAAGCACTTTTTATCTCTTCAATGATCTTCCGCACATCCTTCCAATTTACATCAACCAAGCCTTTGATTAAACAGCCGCTAAAATCCTGAATCTCAGCCCTGCACACGACACAGCGATGCGGCATCTGTTGTAAGTAAGCCAGCTTAAGTGACTGCCAGGCGCACCAGCCACACACAACAACGTGTTCACACGGGAACGTTTGAATGCACGCTTCTGCGTCCAGACAAACAACACACTGTTTATCATCAGTATAAGGCTCAACTGTCTTTGATTGTGTCTTTTGCTGCGTTTGAAGTCTGTCGAGCGCCAAAAATCGATCAATGACGAAAGGAATTTTTTCTGTCTCGATGGATCGCAGCTCCTGGATAAGTGCTTGGCGCTCTCTTGTCCCTCGAGCTTTTAACCACCGTTGGAATCCACACCAGAAGACTAAGAGCGAGGAGAAACATAAAACATACACGATCACTATTGAAATGCAGGAATATCCCCAGAATCTGAACAGCAGAAGACTTGAAGTGTGGTTAAAAAACAGAAAGCCGGAAAACACGGAGAAAACTTTAAGAAATCGGCAGAATCGGGCAAGGCTTTGAAGGTCCATTTTCATGATTTGTCTTTGAATATGATGCTCACCTCTGTTTCTTTACAAAGGGATAATATTTAAGGCTCTTCGAGACTCTTTGGTGAATGTGACTTTCCTGTTTGTAATATTGATATACAACAAGGCTAGTACCTCGGTTCCGTTTAAGCCCGAGTTAAATCTTCTTTTACTGGCCAGAAGTTACTGAACAGCGAGGGAAATGAACAGGACTTTGTGTTCCAGTTACTGTAACCAAAAAAGGAGGCCCCTTGTTAAATTGCTAAGATGGTTTTGAAAATGAAAAAACTGATTCTTGATCAAAACACTCGACTTTTGATTCGTAAATATTAATAGAGATCGGTTGTTGCCATGCGTTGGACACGAGGTCTTTTCTACCAGTAATATTTCGAAAGAACATTTGAACCACCTGTAACTAACATGTCTTGTTTAGACAAGAGCGACCAGAAATTCTTGTTGTTCTCGGTTCTTAGAACATGCAATTTTCATCGCGAAGGATTTTAGGATTGTATCGAGAAAAACTTGCAGGTTCAACACAGTTTTTACGTTCACTTGTTACGTAGTTCAAGTTGCCCGGGGAAAACGATACCGCATGGTAATACATCCTCACTGACAGTTTCTGATCTTTGACGTCCCTCCCTGACTTGTAGCACAAGAGAAAACAAATTTAAGGGTATGCTTAGTATTGCGTTGCGCATACTTACATACTTACATAGTTTCACGCGTCATTTGGCACGCACATTAAAACATGGCGGCTTTTGCCTTAAGGCTGGAGCTCCCAATTGAGGTAAATCTTCATTTTCTCTTAAATGAGTATGGTCACCTATCTTTTTTTCGATTTTCTCTCATTTTTTAAACTCCCTTCTTCTAGAATAGATTTATTCTCTGATTCTCAGAGCAGAAAAAGAAACAGTCGTCAGAAACGTGTTCACAGCATCTGCTCGTAAATATAATCATACTGGTATTTTAAGGAATCATTGTGTATATACAAATCACTCCTGCTCCCAAGCGAATATGGGGAACCCCCCGATTTTATTTCAACATTTAAGTTTCTACAACACAAAAACCAATCGGTTAAGTTTAAAAAAAGCTCACTTCAGTTTCTGCGCTTTTCGCTTTTCTACTGAGCCTTGAGAAAACCTGTGGAGCTGACAGCTATCGACATAGTCGATTCCAAACACCTCAGAGGTTGAAAAGAGAAACCCTCAGTTATTAATAACGCTCCAATCAAGTGGAGCACTCAAACTAACAATTTGACTAATTTACACCCACCCGGACTAATTAGTAGCCTGTAAACCCTTACGAGCAGATTTTTGTTCGTCTACAAAGAGAGGAACCTTCTTAGCAAAGGGATTAGTAAAAGACCAATCTGGGCTTGGCACAAGCTTTTTTTCCTCTGGGTCCTGTGAACAAGGTAACATTCAACACTACTGACAGACAAATAAAAGCTGGACTGATTTCATTCAACTCCAATCGGTCACATTACAGTTTGACATTTCCCCCCTTCATTTTACTACCAAAAGCTGATCTCTTATCTGACTGAGAAAATGAGGGGCTGGGTGTTTTGCCCGAGTCAGAGGAGTTCACAGTTAAAGTTTTGCTCCACCTCCAGAGCTGCCAGTTATCCAGACGTCAAGAGCGAATCCTTAGTCTTTACCACCCAGCGACCGATTCCACCACCTCCCCCTGAAAAACCAAAAGAAGCATATTAAAAGAAGAAGGAAGGAAAAAAGATACCTAGACTTTGTATTTAGTTTTCTTGGATAGGGCTATAGAATAAGAGATTTTAGGCCCCTCCCCTTTCTTCAGTACCTTTTCGGTGACAAACCACCAAGAAACAAATCACTACATTCCTTGGGGGAGGGGAATTAATTGGTTTGTAGTAGAAGAAAATGGGAGTAGAGTAGAAATTTGGCAACCATTGTTGTCTCTCGCTGTAGTTTATTGGGACATTAGCATAGTGCAGAAAGGGTGAAGGAAGTGAATGAAACGAATAGGTGGTAAATTGTACTTAAAGGAAGCTCGAGCTCTATCAGCTGATTTATACAATTAAAATAGTTGGCCCTTGCTGTTCTTCAGGCATTTTATTGACCTCGTGACTAGGGCTTAGAAGGGGGTTGGACAGACATTTCCCTATAATGTCCACCCTGTCCAGGACACAGAGGTGTCGCTCTAAAAGTTATTAGATGATAAATCCTCATTGACTAGTTTTGACTAGTAGTATCTTGTAAGTCTTATGTGAATATCCTCTTTTAAACTGGGAGAGTACCAATGAGGTAACCTTGTCCCAAACTGGATGAAGCCTAATGTTATTGCTGCTCGCTAATGCTCGCAGCAACCCTGTTTGTGATTGTTTATATGGGGCCTGGGCACTCTCTATATGCGTTCTTTCGAGTCCGTTTAACGTGAATTTTTTGGAGTTGTTTCCCTTTTATAGATACAGTAAGTATGCGGTTTGCTTGTTATTCCAAAAGGAGCGTAGACTGGGACGAGGTAAGGGACAGTGTGACAGAGTAGAGTAGGCAGATGTAAGTTTGGTTAGAGATTGTTTCCTTCCTTTGTGGGCCCCTGCTTATATATCTAGAGTAACCAAGCCAACAAAGCAATTTGCATTGTTCGTTTCTTCGTTCGTTCTTCAATGCACTTAATATCAAGATACGCCACAACCTATGTAGCTGTTCCAAGTTGACAATCTACGTCATCGTTAATCCCTTACCTCCTATTGTCACCTCGTTGGTGGTTTCTATTTCTACGGCAGTCAAATTTTATGAATTCCTTCAATTTCAAGATCCTTTTAAAAAGCGTTTCTTACAAATAGCAAAATCATTTTAATGATATTTAACAACTCAAAGAAATGACAATGATAGGCGTACCTCCTCCAACACCCCATGCACATTTGGTAGGGGTACCTCTCCTTACAAGTATTTTGCCGTTGGGATTTCCTTGTAGGCTTTGGGTGATGATGACAACACTACCACCCGCACCACTCCCTCCGGGAGCTGATCTATAAGCTTTGGTACTGACACACTCCGCTGTTTTTCCTTTGAAAAATAAAATAGCAGTTATCACACAAAAAAATCATTTAGAGGTTGAGTAAATAGATAGATACCCCTGACGAAAGGTAACAAGATTATAATTATTAAGATCATCACTGAACGTAGTGCTGCAGGGGATCTGAGACATTGTTCAAAAATTACTGCCATTTTGTCATCTTTGATTTTAGTGAAAATTAAGGCTGATGTAAAACCCCAGAACATACTTAGCATTTTTCATGCCCGAAATGAATTCTGGTAGTTGTAGTCAAATGACGTCCTCGTTAAAATGGCCCATTGTGTAGTAGCTATAGGCTAAGGCCCGGGTCAGAGGCCGTACTTTTCATGAGCCCAACCTAATTCGAATTAAGACCGACGCAAATTATTTGGACCGGCTGAATTAATTCAGACGCCGATCTTAATTCGAGCCGAACTAAATTCAGAAGGAGCAAAATGCCCATTTCGGTGAAACTGCTTAGAAAATACGTTATAATAATTTATGTATTAGGTTAGGCACATGAAAAGGTCGGCCTTTGAATCAAAGCCGTTCCAAAGTCTCTCCAAAGGTGAAATTCCCGGCCGGGCAAGGCGAAATTTGAAACAGGGGTTCCTAATTGATTCAGACGCCGAACTTTTCATGTACTTAATTCAACGTATTAGGTTCAGCTCATGAAAAGTTCGGCATCTGAACCGGCCTAAGACTCGAGCTATCACTCAATATTTACGCTGGAAAGCGTATAGATCATGTAAAGTACCTTCTGATTCTATTCGGCCATCAAGTGTTAAGTTGTCAAGGAGAAGGTATACCAAGCCACCTCCATGTCCACCCTCCCCCCCGGGATTAGGATCATCTGGCATTGCATTACCACCCCCACCACCTCCTCCACCGCCGTAGCTGAGTCGCTTGGTGAAATCTGTATTGCCATATTGCATTCCTCTTAGAAATGGATAAAAACAAAAATAATTTAGTATGGATATAATATACAGAAAACGAGACCAAGGATCGTTATCATCGTAAATCCAAGCTTTGGTGATGATGTAAGTAAAACAATTTTAATTCTTTACAGGTTTTTGCTCTATCACTCTTGATGGTGACCTTTATGAGACGGAAGCCTCCCTTTAATGGTTCAATTCAAGTATTATTGGACTCTCTATGAGGTAGACACCTCTGTAACCTGATGGGCGTTTTCCTTTAACCCGAGTTTAATATGTTTCTCCATAAGGTGGACACCTTTGTATGACGGACACCTCCATTCGGTACAAGTGTTATTTGAGTCTCTATAAGGTGGACACCTTTATAAGACGGACAACCCCATTCAGTCCGAGTTTTATTTGACTCTTTATATTAGGTGGACGTTTTTGTAAGACGGACACACCCATTCAGTCCGAGTTTTATTTGACTCTCTATAAGATGGACACCTTTAAAAGAGGGACACCTCCATCCAGTGAGAGTTTTATTTGACTCTCTATAAGGTGGACACCCCTGTAAGACGAACACCCCTATTCAGTCCAAGTGTTACTGGACTCTCTATAGGGTGGATACCTTTATAAGACGGACACCTCCATTTAGTCCAAATTTATTTCACTCCCTATGAGATGGACACCTTTATAAGAGGGACACCTCCATCAAGTGCGAGTTTTATTTGACTCTCTATAAGATGGACACCTTGGTGAAAAGGACGCTTCCCTTCACTCTGGATTCTCTATACATCTCTGTAAGACGGAAACCTCATTCAGTTCCGTTTTAGAGAGCGTTTAAGCCTCAAGTAGAGCTCATTAAGACCAATTGTCATGATAGCCTTAGAGTTTGCGTTCAGCCAGAGGTAATAATTGACCTCCAAGTCCTTACAATCCGAACAATCGTGTATCGCGGGCTGTCTATTTCATCAATGTTACTGACAATTGAAGAGGTGTTTTGTGCATTGATGTAGATAAATAAAATTATTCCTCTTTATCAAATTTTAGAAATAATGAAGGAATGATAAAGTCTGCCATAACACCTTTCATGCCCATTATACGAACACTATCCTCGAGTTCAAATTATTTACCTCCACCTCCTCCGCCACCCCAATCCCCACCACACGCTGAATCACCTGAAGAGGAACAGAAGGATTAAAAAATCCGAAAATTTGTTACATTAGAAACGATGATAGCAGTAAGGATATATTGACAACAATATTAAGATAATACCTTTGACATTTTATGAGGGTAACGATAAATATTATAAGATTGATTACAATAGAGCGTTTTCACTCACATGTTCAACATCTACGCATGCAAATTATTGGAACAAAAGAAAACGGTTACATAAAAAAACAGGTTGAACTCACAAAGGACCGGTTGGAACTCTAATATGGCCGCCGTGACGTCATTTGCGGCCGGTCACCGAGGAACCTTGTGTTAGCGTTAATTCAATCTGTTATATAACCAAAGGACAGCGAGAAACGTAACCTATGACAATTGCTGGTTTTCACTGTTACGCCATAAAAAATAAAAATCAAAACCGTTGTAATGTATCGAGCGACTAAACGGCTTAAATACTCTCAAGGAACACAACCAGTCAACAAGCACATGAACAACACGACAGGGGTCACGTGACGCCTAACAAGCTCCCAGGATCGCACAACCGTTCAACAGATTAAGTCAAGAATCTGGGATACGAAAGAAGATGCGAGATATTCGGGGAAATAATTTACCCAAATTTATAACGCTTTGTAAGTAGACACCATGTTGATGTTCATCCGGATGGGCACCAACAATATGGCAGCCGGAAACCAACAGAAACATCTGTCACTGAGTTTTGTTACCAAAGCGTGAATTCATCTCTAAGGGAGCTTATAAACATTATGGTTACACTTTTTCTAATACAATGACTTTCCATATAGCAAAGGCCACCAAAAAAAAGAGCCCTTTGATGATGTGAGAATTTGTAAGAATATTCGTTTTTTTGCCGCTTTACTACTTTCTGAAGGCAAGCATTCTCTCTTGCTGAAAGCAAAAACTCAGGAGGATCCACAATACTTTAGTTTTGAATTTTGATGAAATCTTGCAAAAACCAGCAATACTAACTGTCACTAAAACTAGAGACCATTATCATGCCCCTGCTAACACAAGACAGCACTCTATACTACCTCCTTGTAACTGATGATGATTACGTTAAGCGGTAACAACGATAAAATGATAACTACAATCAACCTCCTTCTCCTCCTTGTGACTCTGTCCCGGCTCTCCCACTTACAGATCCACCACAGGCACCATTTACAGGTTGACCCTGTTGTCCTCCGTTTCCTCCTTTTGCCCCGGTGCAGGCTGACACTCCCCCACCCCCAGCGTAGGCACCGATCTGCAAATGAGAGAGAATACGTAGCTTTTGCCGCTTGTATTTACTGCTGGAGTTAAAATCATCTGTTTTAACCCTGTAAAGTGTTTTTTTGTGGCCTGTAATTAGCTGTGCAAGTTAGGGTTAACTATATGAAAAGTTGTTAAGGCTCGCGCGAAAACTATTTTGAAATAAATTCTGAGGCAGTTCTTTCGGGGAAATTCAAAATGTTTAAAATTTACCGATAAATGACTTCAGCAAATGTGACGTTATATGATTTGAAATTCGGTGTCATCGTATACGCTAATTGGATTAGCCTGATGTTCCATAATACAGACCAAGTATGGAATGAAAAAGTAACATCCAACTAATAAGTTATAATGAATAATTCAAAAATGCAGCGCTTTGGTTTGGCCTCGCCGTGGTTGCATAGTATGACATAGGAATAAACTTACACTAGTTGATGCAGTTCCTCCAATACCGCCGTCACAACATGAGCCACAAGAATTTGCAGCACCACCTCCCCCACCACCAGAAAAATGTCCACCACCACCCCCTCCGCCAGAACCGTCATCATTATAACCATCAGTAGCATCAGCTCCACCCCCTCCCGCATTATATCCACCAGGACCTCCATGGGCTAAAAATAAAACAGTATAGCAAAAAACATTATTGCCTGCTGCTTTTTTTATAATGATATACACACACGATACCTGATGTAGAGTGAAAATTGCACTTTGATGGCTAAATTAAACCGTATGTTCACCTCTGAATACTGAAGTGCTAAGTCAAGTGATTCAGGGGTGGGTCCAGGATTTTTTTTAGGAGAGGGTGCACCACTAACTAAGGAATGGCGTAACTGACTGGTGACGTAAAAAAATTTTAAAAGCAATTACGAAAAGAAGGTTTTCGGCTAGGCAATAACATAATGCAAACTGCTGAGAATGCATATCAAACGATACAGCATGCAGACTTCAGTGCCTCGTCTCATGTTTTACTTCAGCACCAATAAACCACAAAGTTTTTTTGTTTTTTTTTGCAGAATATCAGTTGTATTAGAAAGCCGCAGGTCATCTCAGGAGAGGGTGCGGACCCCCTGCACTCTCCCCGTAGATCCACCCCTGTGATCTACTCTACTTCCTGCATAAATTCAGGCCAAGAAACTTCATACGAATATTTTTTTTTTACATAAAACGTTTCAAACAGAATGTTAAGCAGGAGAATTACTTAACTGTAACAGATTTCAACTTTATCACGAAAAATTATTAGTTGCTACACCATTTTAAATCCTCTTTTTTAGCAAGATCGCGGGCCTGACGGCGGCCACATTGAATTTTGTCACAGGTTGAATACCCCCTTCAAAACAATTGTCTTTTTCTCAGCAAACTTTTAGGATATTACAGAATAATTTTTCCTTGCAGATACTCTTCAAAAAGTAGATGACATTTATGGAGCAACATTTTTTGCATTTGTTCAGTTTTGTTCCGTTCATTTTTAGTCAGTAATTCGGCTATTTCGTCTTTGCCAGCCACGAACTCTTTCGCTATTTTCCAGAGTGGACCCTGTACTCACGCCAGAACTGTTAATAAGCTACAACGCCTAGCCGGTGACTACTCAGTGTTGTGATTGCACTGTTAGCAATATACAATCATTGACGTCAGAGTAACTTACGGCAGTGATTGTATATTGCCAGCATCTTGGCAATATACAAAATTGGTTAGCGGCGGCTTCTTATGAAAATGGGATTAAATTCAGCGAGAAAGAAGGCAGAACAGGACCACATTTAATTTGAACACTACCTACCGTTGATTCCCCCAACAGCCCCTCCCCCTCCATTTCCATTTGTGTTCAGTGTCCAGGCCTGCCCGGGTATATCTCCTCCTTTTCCATTGATTCCAGTATCAAGATACAAGAATGATTCGCCTCCATATCCACCTCCACCACGATAATCGCCACCTTGCCCACCACGAAAACCTTAGCACAATAGAGTTTTTTTTATTATCATTATTAAAAACTATGTTTGCTATTCCTCCCTACTTAATGCACAAGCTAGCTTCTATGCCCAGTTCACACTGAATAATAACACACTTTTTGTGGTTCTGTGCGGATGTCCGTGGAGAAGATCTGGCGGGGGATTATTAATAGTTCTAAAAATAAATCGAAACAAGAAGAGTTGACTCACGGTTATAGTACTTATGGAGGCTCTAGGTTATCGGCTCCTAATAACCTAGCCATCCTTCGGGATTTCTCCCCTTTCCGCCCTAAAGCCTGATGCTTAAGTTAATGAAAATGCTAATACCTTCTACTTGATAGATGTAATCATGAACTGAGCAGAGAAAATCCAAATCCATTCTAACACATGAAAATTGCTTATATTTCTTTGATACTTCTGCTGCTGAGAGTTATTTATCGTTAAGGAAAATACCTTGTCCATTTGTCGATATCAACGAACTGCTGTCAATAATCATCGTTTTCGCTCTAAGCGCCAAAATGCCATATAGGCCATTCTCTTGTTTTCTGCACCGTAACTTGCAGTTGTTGGTGAGAGTAACTGTGTCGTAATTCGGAAACACTTGAGCCATAATATGTACGTTCTCGCCCACTTGTTGGGTAAAGGGAGATTCCACAGTGATATTGCAACTAGAATACAATGGAAATATTAGCTATAGAGGAAGTGATTCATCCCCACTCGTGGACAAGTGACGCGCACGGCGGCGGGAGAAGGGAGTGATACGGAGAGAGAAAAAAAGAAGACTTCCTTCTTGGCTTTTTTCCTTCCCATCTAACCCTGCACGCCATAACGGAGGGGTGAGAGAAGACTGGAGACAAGTTAGGGCCTTGGCCATTTGCAGGTTGCTACTGTTGCTGATGTTCTATTCCGGGGAGGTTAGCTTTCGAGAGGCTAGATGATGCTCATTATGGTAGTATTCAAGATATAAAAATTATATACTTTCTACACAATTAGCCCTCCTTACTACGTATTGCAAGCCTTCCAATATTTTCACGGTTCCAATATTTTTAGCATCGTGAAAGTTGTTGAAAATAATTTCTCTGTATCATTTCCGTGTTTGCTATCCTTTATACACACAAATGTTCTTTCAACAGCAATTTAAACGTGCAGTTCCAGTTAGAAGAGGTCAGTTTTGGATGAAGAGGACAGCACATATCAAAACGGTACGTAGTTACTATCACCGAAAGGCGTTTTATTACACGGCGTGCAGATTTGTGACGAAGTGTACCAAAAACAGTGAAACTGTCGTCATATTGTTCTCCCAAGAAAGCCGCTGCTAATCGTGTGCAAGCCACTAAAATATCCGTTTACATACACGGTCCGGACAAATTTTCAAAAATTTTGATCTACTTCTGATCACGTCAAAAATTCGCACAATGTACTTTGCCGTTCAAAAACTTCGGAATGCAGACTTAATGGCGGGTCCCGTATAGACGAAAGGCTGATCCGTGCAAGTTTTTGTCCGTTTCAAAACTTGTCCAGATCCGTTTAAACGGAGTCTAATACTTTCGTGAGAGCAGGTTTTAAAAAATGGATCATGTAGGCGTGGCTATCCCTAGGGCTTTTGTTCTCAGCATGAACTGCACTTGGAATGCACCAGTTTTTTTCCGAAATTGGTTTAACACTGGTCTTTGCGACTCGGAGGCAGGTTTTAAAGACAAAGAAACTCACCTATTATTGTGTGGATTACATGGAGAGCATTTGTGAAAATCTTTGTCCCCAAGACAAGGTGCACAATATAATAATGCTCTGTGGCTACTAATCCTATACGCTCAAGGGTAGCCCGGAATTGTCTAATATACCTACCCATTCATCTCTGTGACTCTCGTTATCTCGTATTTTCCAAAATCGTCAAGACTTCCTCTGGTAACAATGAACAACATTTCATATCCTGGTTTAATCCTGGTTGCATCGCAGTTTGACAGTACTGTATTTTTGGGGCCATGGGAAGTCATGTCTACTGTCCAGGAAAACATCGCCTCACTGCATATATTCAGGGTAGTAGAGTTGCACTCCACTTGTGAATAAAATCAATAACACGTTAACCTTTTTAGTGATGACTTGAATCAGTCGTGATATAATAATTCACTGCTAAATTGAATTGAACCCATTTAATCCTTAAATATCAATAATGAATAAATGATTATTTAAGGGTTCCACGCCGAAACAACGTACTACTGCCAGAGCCACTACTGCCAGGGACTCGCGCGAAGCAGGTTTGAAAGTGGCGGGGTTAATCCAAACTCGTAAGGGTGAACCTTTTAGCTGGGCATCCAAGGGATGCTCCGCCGGGAACCTTAAATTTTTTGGTGTCCTAAAATCATTGCTAGGAATTGATCTGGACCTATCATTCTTTAATAGTAGTAATGCAACAAATTTGTAACGATTATTGCCAGTATATCTTTCAGCAGTCACGAAATGCGAGCGCCCATGTATACGGAAAATGTAGAAAAGTAACATTTTTCCAGTCTCCAAATATTGGGGATGAAATAAACCATGTCCTATGGTTGTAAAATTATAGCTTCCAACTCCATCGACAAGTGGCACCTCGTTGTCGCAGCTCAGCCGCAACCTACAACACAGCGCTGAGCATCAATTTTACGAGACGTTTTCTGGAAAACTAAATTGCAACTTTTCGCATGCTGCGCACCAAGTGATGTGGACCTTGTGAATCAGAAATCCGTTCTTGTGGAATAAGACAGAACAAATTTCCTACCCTATTTAAGGCCCCACCCGAGGAAACGGCACCCTACTTCTACTACGACTACATGCACCTAACGACGACGGCGACGACGACGACTACGACGACTACTACAGTAACTACTACTAGTACTACTACTACTACTACCACTACCACTACCACTACCACTACCACTACCACTACCACTACCACTACCACTACCACTACCGCTACCGCTACCGCTACCGCTACCGCTACCGCTACTGCTGCTACTGCTGCTACTGCTGCTACTGCTGCTACTGCTGCTGCTGCTGCTGCTGCTGCTACTACTCGTGCATCAGTGCCTCTAAACTTCTGACTAGAGTCTACATCACCGTCTCGCTTTAATTAAGATATATCAACACTGAACGTTTATTTCGGTCGTCCTCTACTTTTATGGCCGTGGTTTGGCTCCCAAAGGACGAGTTTGTGTGCTATTAACGGGCTGCAAAAACATTCCATGTACTCAAATAATTATTTTCGAATTGAAGCACGTAGCTCGATTGATAGGATATTAGTCGGTGGTGTAGTTCTAAAAAATCCCCAGAGGAACCCTATTTATTTTGCAGAGAGGATTTCGTTACTAAGTTAGCAATACTTACAGTTTTCGCAGTTTTTTCCAACAAGATTTTCGAATGGGCAAACGCAGTTGTAATCCTCTGTTTCGTAGATAGGGTGACAAGTTCCACCGTTTCTGCACGGGCTA